TTCTTCGGTTGTAATTGAGTCTTGATTGCTGTTTATCAAATGAGTGAGAGGGATTTACTCAGGCTGTTCAACTACAGGGACTGGCTGTGCCCACTACCCACTGACCTCTGACAACCTTGATCAGCTGTGACGGGGCCCACCACACAGAGTTAGACTTACTTTCACAAGGTTCTGTTACCCACTGAGTCCTTTCCTTGAATGTGTCACTTGTGGAGGTGGTTGGCTGGTGGAGCTTCGCAGTGTGCTCAAGTTGTCCACGGGGTGTGCTGGCTGTGGGGTAAGGTCATGCACTCCCTGTGTTCTACCTGGGGCCACCAGGCAACAGCTACAAAGCCATCTGCCGAAGGCTGCTTCTTGTGCTGGGCTTGGAGGTGCCCATGCAAATCCACCTAGTGAACCAAGGCTGGTTGCTTCTAGAGCCAGACCTGAGGCCACATAACAAGAGGTATGGGGCTCGCCGAGACCAGATGCTGCTTATTAAGAGAACTTAGAAAATCTGAAATAGAAGCCAAGACAGGCCATTCCTATGGTAAGCCACTGGGAAAGGCTTGGGGAGGCCTGAAAGTTGGGTGGGGCGGGGCCTCAGGGAATCACCAGGGCAGGGCAAACAGGGTGAGCCAGGTTGCTGGAGTCCCAGATAGGGCTGCTGTCTGCCAGCCTCATGGGGGAAGGGCTCACCAAAGGAACAAAGGCCTCTGAAAACACATCTGTCCAGGATAGAGCCCCCTTTCCAGCCCTCGCCCCAATGCCAAACAGCTCAGTTCTTCCCCATATGATTCCAGTGCCTATTGAGCTGCCTCCCAATGCAGGGCTCAGAGGGACAAGTCCGAGTAAGTCCGAGCACCGGCCCTTTAAGAGGAGCTGCCTGGGGCTCCATCAGCCTCAGCCTCACTCCGCCTCAGTTCCTGCAGGTTTACAGCCAGAGGTGATGGGGATTCTCTTCCTGGTACTGGAACCCTGAGCTGGGGTTCCTGGTGGAGTGTGGGGACCCCTCACTCCTCAGGGAGGACCTTCCCAGCCTAGGTGTCCTCCTGAGGTTTATGAGCCTCACGTGGGTGTGGGACCAAACCTTCCGCACGTCCACTCCTCCTACTACTGTCCATGTGGCTGCTTCTTTAATTCCATAGTGGCCAGACTTCCATTCAGCGCGATTTCAGGGGTTTTGAATGATGGTTGTGCTGTAGGTTAGTTGTAATTTTGATGTGGTTGTGGGAGGAGGCAATACTGCATTTACCTCCCCGCCACCCTGACCGGAAGTCTGAGTTGGAAGAAATTCCAACCCCCATGCAGGGAGGATCCTCAGAAAATGGCAGGTCTCATCCCCTGCAAATGGCCCACCAGCATTCACACGGGGCTCAGGGAGACTCTCCTCACCACCCTGCCAAGGGCTGATGACAGGCCGTGAGTTATACATGCGGCGAAGGAAGGGGCTCATCCCCTCCATCCAGAGACCCCAACGGGAGAGACTGTGGTTCCCACGCATCCCTCTGCTACCTGTGAATGTTGTCCTTTGTGCACGAATTAATTTTTCTTATCTTCAATGATCTGTAATTTTACAAGGGCACTATGAGAGCTTTGTTGTGTTTCCTCTTCCTCCACACAGCACCGTAGCTGGTGAGCTGTGCGTGTCCTGTGTACAGATCACACTGAACCTGAAATCCATCTGTCCCCCGGCTTCACTCTGACTATTTCTTCTCTCTGGTTCCCCCGTGCTCACTCCAGCGGGGCCTTGGTCAAGTCCCTTCCATGGCAGAAGCTGTCCACCCAGGCCTGGGAATCTCCCCCCAGGGAGCGAAGCCCTGTCCTCCTGGATGCGTGTCCACTCCACTGGGGGAGTCTGGTCCCAGGGTCAAGGCCTCCAGAGAGGAGCAGGGACCAGCATCAGGAAGAAACGCCTTTGTTCCCTATCTCACTGAATGAGAGAAAGTTCCTTGTCACCTTTGAACATTAGAAGGTAAATAAACAAGCAGATGGGAAGCAGAAACTATTCCAGATTCTTTATCATCGTTATCACCTTGAAACAGGTGTGGACGCTCAGATCATGACCCCAGCTGGGATGAAGGGGCAGGAACGGGACCATCAAGGAGGCTTTGAGGGTGACGGTGGCCTTGGCCCCATGCCGGCCACAGGCACAGCTTCTCTCACTGTGCTGTGTCTCTGCCCCTCCCCCTCCCCCCTATAAGTGCAGGCTGACTGAACCTCCACACCACTCAGTTCTCCTTCCCCCTGAGCCTGATCCCGGTGACTCTCAGCATGAGGACCCTCGTTCTCCTCGCTGCCCTTCTCCTCGTGGCCTTCCAGGCCCGGGCTCAGCGCCTGCAGGAGACAGCTGACCAGGTTCCTGCCTGGGACCAGCCTGAAGCTGAGGACCAAGACCAGCTTCTGGCCGAGGACCAGGACCAGGCTGGGGCCGAGGACCAGGACATGGCCATCACCTTCACAGGAGAGGAACGTCTCACTCGGGAAGCTTCAGGTGAGACACCAGCCAATGTGCTTTGGGGTCCCTGGCCCATTAGAGAGGTTGGACTGATGAGGCAGGAAACAGAGTTCAGAGAAGGGCAGTGGAGTGGAACAGTAGACGCCCAAGGAGGAGGCAGGTAGGAGGCAAGGGCAGGACCGAAGCGTGTGCACCACAGACCTGATTCAGAGAAAATCCATCATCTCACACGATCAGCATAGAGCTGTAAGCTTTCTTGTGATTTAGGACCATCACGTCAATTCTGTCACCCCAACCTGGCAGGTAGTGTCTGTGGTGAGGAGACAGGTGTCTCTCAGAAGATCCCCATGGGGCCCGCTGTGCCTCAGCCCCCTGTCCCTCCCCACTCTGCCTGACCCTGCTCTTCCCTCCGCAGGCTTCTCGAAAATGAAAGTCTGCCTGTGCCGACGCACTAAGTTATGCGACTATTTTGAGCGTGACGCTGGGAGATGTAGAATATTCCGCCGTGGATACAGGCTCTGCTGTCGCTGAGCGGTGTGGTCCCCGCCCGGAGGACTGTGCTCGTCCACTAGGACCTGAGAAGCGACCTTCGCACCTGCACCTTCCCCTTTCTCTCCCACAATAAACTTCAAGCATTAAACTCACCGTGGATTCTGGTCCTCGTCCCGTTTCCATAGACTCGTGTGTGTGCTTCTCTTGTGTGGAGAGTTCTGTCCTGAGTGGTCTACAGTAAGTTGACTGGCTGGTGCCTCTCAGTGATGCATGACATGAGCATCACACGGCTACAGCCAACCTGCAAAAGAAACACGATTCTTAACTAAGACAGTTTCAACCGACAAAGTCCAACCCATTCACAATAAACTGAAGGTGATGTTTCCACTGGTGTCCCGGAGGCAATGTTCACACCAGGGAAAGTAGATCCCATGTACTCTTACTTGTGGGTTAGTTATGAGAAGTGGGAGCACATGGATGTGGATGGATAATTTCTCATGATAAACGGTCATTTTGGTTCCATATATATTTTTCCTCCATGTATCAATTAGAAAGGGTGAGCTAATTCCTCAGCGTGCCTCCAACAAGGACAAGGTAAGACCTACACCAGGACACACTCTGCCCACCCGGATCAGTGTCCTCAGATAGTGACCAGAGAGGAGACAGCAGAAGACTGTCAGTACAGGTGGTCACGCCCAATGACCAGTGCGATCAACCGTCTCCCTTTGGACCCCAAAAGGTAGATTTCTCCAATGTTCCATTTAAGACCTTGTTTCAACTGTCTGTCTTTAATGAACTTGAGTCTACCAGTTACAATAAACCCATACTAATTTTAATAGAATTCTAGGAAGAAATAATATGTTATTAATGCCAGTGACAGGCCCTTCCCTCCTGTGTTGAATGGTAGGCTGCTGTGAAGCCATTCAGATTCAGAGAATCCTTATTTATAGAAGAAAAAATCTCCCTATCCTCCCTTTCCCAATTTCAAGATTCCCATACACACCTTACGGCAGAAACCTTGGATTCTACCCTGAAATATGTTGTACTTAGAGTACCTTTGATTTGACCTTTGCCCTGTGGTCACTTCTAGGTTAAAATGTTTTCCTTAACAAGGCTGAGAAGGAGAAACAGTTTTATTTTCAACCTTGACTGTCCATCTGCATGGGCCCCTCTCAGCTTCCACCACCAGGACACAAAATACAAACACAAGGAAGAATGACCTTTAGAAACATTGGTGGCAAAGACACAAAACTCAGAAATCACCGATAAAATATTGTTAATGACACAATAGTGCAAAGTGTCTGGGTAGACAAAAGACATAGCACAGTGAGAAATGGCGAGCTCTAAAAGTCATCTGCAGGACTTTGGGACGAAGCGCTCATTCCCTGCATGCGGAAAGGAAGGTAAAACCCACAGCAGTAATCAGCCAGCTACTGCAGTCTCCAGAACACATTTCAAGGAAACAGAACAGGAGATTCCCAAATGGTGGTGGAGTGAATGGAAGCTTACAGACCATCTCCCTGGACCAAACTGGAATTACAGCGAAAATAAAGACAAATCATCAGGAAAAAGCAACACAAAAGCAGTTAGGAAGACCGCGTAACCAGGGACACTGACTCAATCCTGGTAGGCTTGCAAAGGTGTGAGAGAGGGGCTGGGAACAGCTGCCTTAGTAGGGAGCAGAGCCCTTGGGTTAAACTCTCAAGTGGCACCACAGCGCAGAGCTGGGACAGAGGCTAAAATAGCCACAGCCACTCACCTTGGGCACTGGCAGAGGGAGGGTGGACTGGATTGCAACTGTGTGAGGACACTCGGGATTCAGAGGGTGCTTAGAGCTTTTGCTGAGTTGCGGCCAAGCAGGACATTGGTCATCTTACTCTTTCCCGGGGCTCTAGGGTGAGTTAGCAGCCCCTCGCTCAGAGATTCAACCCCACCCAGTGGCCATTGAAATGCTAATTGAAGCTCATTAACAACCAGCATCTGCCCCACCCTCAGGAAATCCCCTTACCTGAGCACCTGAGGGAGTTTTTCATTCAACTGAGAAGCCAAGGCTCTTCAGGCTACTGACAGCTTCCAGGCAAAAGCTAGAGGATAACTGTACCATTCCTGGGCTAGCAACTCTAACCAGGAAAGTAATACTTGACAGTGGTGTTTAACGTGGGTCCTCTCTAGCTCATCCAAACCCAGGAGAGGGAACCACAAACAGCAGAACACCAACACCCACAGGGAAAATTTGGCAGGCTCCAAAGCCCACTGAGATAGCCAAAATGGTGAAACACAGAAACAGAAGCCAAATGAAAGACTGAGAGACCTCTACCAAAGATGAGATAAATGAGGTGCAGTTAAGCAAGTTAACAAAACTAGAATTCAGAGCCATGATCTTGAGGAAGATCAACATCATGTGCAAGGACATGAGCACCATGAGTAAAACATAGAAATGTTAAAAATCAACCAATTGGATATTAAAAACCACGAAGAAGAAATGAAGAATGACATAAGAAATAAAGAACACATTGGCAGGTCTAAATAGCAAAGTAGAGGAAGCTAAGGATCGTATTAGTGAATTAGAAGATAGGATAGAAAAAAATTAACCAATCAGAAAACCAAGAGGAAAAAACAATTAAAAAACAGGAAGACCTTAAGAGAAATGTGGGACAACTGGAAACGTAATAACATTTGCATCATAGGAGTCCCCGAAGAAGAAGAAAATCAGCAAGGGTTAGAGAATATATTTGAAAAAATAATAACAGAAAACTTCCCTAATTTGGTGAAGGAATACGGCATTTAAGTTCAAGAAGCACAGAGAGCCCCAAGTAAGAAGAACCCAAACAGGCCCACACCAAGACACGTAGTAATTAAAATGCCAAAAATTAAAGACAAAGAGAGAATCCTAAAAGCAGCAAGAGAGAAGCAACAGGTTACCTACAAAGGAAACCCCATAAGGCTCTCAGCTGACTTCTCAACAGAAACACTACAGGCCAGAAGGGAATGGCATGAGGTAATCAAGGTCATAAAAAAAAGGATCTGAATCCAAGACTACTCTACCCAGCAAAGCTATCGTTCAAAATAGAAGGTCAAATAAAGAGCTTCCCAGATGAACAAAAAAGGCTAAGGGAATACATTAGCACCAAACCAGTACTGCAAGAAATGCTAAAAGGACTGCTATAATTAGCAGGAGAAAGAGGAAGAAAAATAGAACCACACTAACCAAAAATGGCAATAAATAAATACATAACAATAGTCACCTTAAATGTAAATGTATTGAATGCTCCAATAAAAAGACACAGAGTAGCTGATTGGATAAGAAAGCATAACTCATCTATATGTTATTTACAAGAGATCCACCTCACAACAAAAGACTCACATCACATAGGTTGAAAGTCAAGGGATGGAAAAAAATCTTCCAAGCAAACAGAAAGGATAAAAAAAAGCTGGGGTAGCAATATTCATATCTGATAAAATAGATTTCAAAATGAAGGCCATAACTAGAGACAAAGAAGGCCACTACATAATATTGAAAGGATCTATCCAACAGGAAGATATAACCTTGATAAACATATATGCAACCAATATAGGAGCACCAAAATATATTTAAAATCTTCTGGAAGACTTCAAAGGAGAAATCAATAGCAATACAATTATAGCAGGGGACTTCAACACCCTGCTGACATCACTGGATAGATCCTCTAGACAAAAAATTAGCAAGGAAACAGAGACTCCAAATGAATTTCTCGATCAGATGTTTCTAATAGATATCTACAGAGAATTACACCTCAAAACTACAAAATTCACATTCTTGTCAAGTGCACATGGGGCGTTCTCAAAGATAGACTACATGTTAGGACACAAACTAAATCTCTACAAGTTCAAGAATACTGAAGTCATATCAAGCATCTTCTCAGATCACAATGGCATGAAACTAGAAATCAATTGCAACAAGAACATGCAAAGACATTTGAACACATGGAGGCTAAATAGCATGTTATTAAACAATGAATGGATTACTGAGGAGATCAAGAAAGAAAGTAAAAACTTCCTGGAAACCAATGAAAATGAACACACAACAGCACAAAATCTATGGGATGCAGCGAAAGCAGTTCTGAGAGGGAAGTTCATAGCACTGCAGGCCTACCTCAAGAAACAAGAAAAATTTCTAATAGGCTATCTAACTTCACAACTTAAAGAACTAGAGAGCAAACCCCAGAGCAAGTAGAAGGAAGGAAATAGTAAAGGTCAGAGCAGAAATAAATGACACAGAGTCCAAAAAAAAAAATTCAAAGGATCAATGAAACAAAGAGCTGGTATTTCAAAAACATACACAAGAGTGATGGACCTTTAGCTAGACTCACCAAAAAACAAAGAGAGAGAACCCAAATACACAAAATCAGAAATGAAAGAGAAGTAACAACTGACACCACAGAAATACAAAAGACTGTTAACAACTACTATGAACAATTATATGGCAACAAATTTGACAATCTAAATGAAATGAACAAATTTCTAGAAACACATAGTTTCCCAAAACTGTACTGGGAAGAGATAGAAAACTTGAACAGACCAATAACAACTAAGGGAATTGAAGATATAATCAAGACTCTTCTAGCAAACAAAGGCTAGGCCCGGATGGCTTCACGGGGGAGTTTTACCAAACATTCAAAAAATAAACTAACACCCATTCTCCTCAAACTATTTCAAAAAATTCAAGAAGGAGAAAGACTTCAAAACTCTTTTTATGAGGCCAGCATAATTCTAATTCCAAAACCAGAAAAAGACATTACAAAGAAAGAAAACTACAGGCCAGTATCCCTGATGAACATAGATGCCAAAATCTTGAACAAAATACTAGCAAATCGGATCCAGCAATACATAAAAAAAAAAAAAAATATTCACCATGACCAAGAGG